ATAAGATAAGATAAGAATTTAAGAGTCCAGCAAGAGATATAAAGACTGACGCTACAGATATGTACGGTACATAAATATCGAACTCCAACACTATGTATTTTAAAAACTCACTGCAAAAGGGGCCTGCGTGACTTGTGGAAGAGCCGCGTACAAGCTATGTACACCCATAATAATACGTGTTAGCTAAAGCGGAAAGTAAACGAGGCGGCTCCTAATTCTGAAGATATTTACATCTATATCGACACTCCTGATCTGCCAAGAGTTTATGTTGTGTCACAAGAGTATTCACAGAACGTTACCTGTTGTCGTCTGCGTTTTTCGAACGCCGTACGTGGGCCGCTTACAGCAGACGACGCCCCACTCTCAGCCGGTCTTTCGTCAAACGCATGTACATCCGGTACGGCTGTGGGCTTCATCTGAACGCGTTTACGTATTCCGAATTCCCGCTCGAGTCCGCCGACAAACTGGTCGCTGAAAAAAGTGCAGGCTACACAGTTCCGCCTTTGCCCCTCCCGTCCAGTTGTTTTTACGGCGCTGTACGTACTGGGTCCACAATCGCCTTCTCCGCGGGCTGCTTGGAAAACTATGCAACCTAAGTCCTAATTTCGTAGTCCCAGAACAGCCATAATCTACACATCTACGCACCATATTTTTAAAATAACAAAGATAAACAAAGATACTGACGAAAAAAACTTGGGCTGGCAAAAAAAACTACATGACAGTTCCTGTCGTCTGCTAAACTATGACGCTCGCGTTCCTACTGTGACGTCACTTCCGGTCTCTATGCCGAGTTTACACTAGAGTAGAGCTGGTGGACCTAACACTCAGTTTTCGCAAATTCATGGGCGCTCGGATAAAAATGAGGCAATTTCTACAATTACATGTGTGGAAAGCTGTTTATTCCCCAAAATGCACATCCCTTGTTACATAGGGGCTTTAATGGCCTGCAGAATTAAAGTATAAAACATACCGGTTCAATTTTCCCACATATTAAAATTAGGTATCAAGATACTCTTATCCGTTTTTTACCAGATGTTATTGCACCACTTTAATAAGACACATCAATAAGACACACCAGAAAGCCCGTTAAGTTTGGTCACGGAAATTTGAGACTTAAATATACCACGGCAGTAGTAACAAACAAAGCTTTGATTTGAATCAGCCGCAGTTACACGTCGGCATTTCTCAGAGGCCACTCATAACGGAGTGGCTGGAAAGTTAAACTCTGCACAAAATCAACCAAGATTCGGCCACACGAATTTCTTCAAGGTTTCATCAAGGCTGATACCTCTTGTAAGTCCAGTATTTTATTTGCTGCGGCACAGTAGGTGTTAATGTCGCCCGTGTCTTTGTATAACGTTATGTAACAACAAAGGCATACTACCTAGTGTCAGACGGCCATTGTTGTATTTTTATTTAATTTTGTAAGTCAAGGACAGAATGACAGAGTTACATACAGACGATCATGTACGAACCAATACCAGCATTTAATTCAAATTTAGTGCGGTTAAATTGCAGTTTGTAAGCTAATTTTCAAATTGATTATTGGTTAAAATGTAGCGATCACAGATAGCATTTTTAAATTTTCATGCTCAAAGTTCAACGATATGTCGTTAGGTATCCCCTTATTTTTATTTCAATACTTTTATTCGCTTTTTATTATTGAGGCCCTCTTTATGATGTTTATTATTTTGCGTCCGTGATTCAAAACTTGCACCTACGCTGGAAACGGTTTTACACCTCGAATTAAGTTGCGTTTCGTGTGTGTATACCACGATTTCTTTGAACACTTCCTGGGAAACTGAATTGTAAGGCCTTTGGAGTTACGCGTTTATACTTAAGACCCACATATGTACACAAAGTCACCTATGTAGGGTCAATTTTGTTTCCTGTTGTAACTGTCGTAAATGTCGTAACAATGTTTCAACAAACATTTGCAAGTCCATTTATGTAATGTACAAATGTAAATAACTCAACAAATTGATACAGTTCCTCACATTTTAAATCTGGTTCCCGAGTGACACTCTCTGAGAATTTTTTTACCACAGACCACACATGTCTCAGGTTATCAGGTTATCAGTAGATCCGGGTAATAGTCGTGTCTTATTTGTTTTCTCTGCTTTAAGTTCAACCGCGCCCGCGTAGAATTCCTGTTTACAGCATACAGCATTAGGGCATATTAGAAATATTAGTATGGACCTATTATGTAATATATGCAGAATTCTTCGGAATTTAAGATTTTTATAAGGTCTATTTACCCTCAAAAAATAGGTTATTTGTACAAAATAATTAAATACATTTAACTTCGCCATGCGAACAAATAATAGGTATTTTGTGTCGGTGCCAAGTTATTGGCCTGCTGTAGTAATGCATAAAACATACCGATTCGATTTTCCCACGTCTGAAAATAATTTATCAAGCATTTCCCTCTTTTTTACCAGGTCTTATTGCACCACTTTAACCCTATCTAGACGGGGGGTGTGGCTAAAAGTGCCCGCGCCAACTTTCAAATCACATACCGTCTGAATGGCTAGTGCTAGAACGGCCAAACTTGATAACTTTCCTAGAATATTGTTGGCAACAATTGTATATCATTGGAATAAGATAATAATTTTTGGTGTTGCCATGACAAAGGCATATTTGCTAAATTTAGTAATTTTCCTTTCAACAATAGAATTTTACGGGTTTTACATATATGTCTAGTTACACATAGTTTCTAATACATGTATTAATAACATCCCATACAATTTTATAAAAATATATTATTAAAAATGCATAATTTATGCTAATTTGATGACGTCATTGGTCAAAATCCAAGACCATATCATTACAAGGTATATACAGTTTTTTCCTTAAAATTTCATCAATATTTCCATTTCTTTTATAAAATTTTAAAAAGATTGATATGAACTTCTTTAGTCTGTTTACAATGTATTTTAGACTTCATCCTGAAAAAATATTTTTGAAGATCCAAGATTGATGATCCAAGATGGTGGATAGCTTAAATATGCATGACGTCATTTTATGACGTCACCGGTGTTGCTATGGGCAATATAAGACTTAGTACACCCTAATATTCTGTCATGAACACTTTTTGTTCCGGGTCGGAGTTTAAATCTGACCAGAGTCTAAGTAAGTGCACAGTAAATCGCCGGAAACGTGATCGTAATATCTGTGTACATATATTTGTATTTTCTGAAAACTCTGTTAGTTGTAACCTTTATAGGTGGCGTAATGTTTATGGTCCAGCGAAGACTTCCTGGTATTAGTCCGCGCGGATGGTTATGTGGCCTTTTCGCCTGACCGCCGGGATGGTACGTTCTATATGAGTTGTGGGTGTGTTCGGGCCATCGAAGATAGCGATAAACGTATCGCATCGATTTTGATTAAATTTTGGAAACATTAGTTTCTAAGCTTCTTCGAGTACTATGCCGTTACCCTGGGAAAATTCGTTTTTTCCATGCAGCCATGGTTAAAAATGACAAAAAAAATGACCCCTTATTTAACTAGAGTTCCCCGATCTCATACCTTCGCCAAATGATGTTAATCTTTATGACTGACAAATTATACATTAGATTATTCCCCCCTGATTAAATAGGAACCTAATTTTCATGAATTATATCATTTTATCATAATCTCAACCAAAAAACAGTCTTATACTAACAAACAATGCATTCTAGCATTTCCTAATAAATTATGCAAATGAGGTCCTGATTTGAATAAATTATGTTTAATGATGTTCACCTCAATTTAATTTTCAAATACCACAAGTATGAAATTCCAGGCAGTTATCATTACATAATTATAAAATTTTCTCATTAATTATGCAAATTAAGTCATTATTAACATAATCAAT